CCCAGATTTGCTTCAAAGCAGCCAGTCCTTGTGCCTTTGCATTTCTTGTGTGCTCTGTTGAGGACAGCCCAGTGCTACCAGGAGCACTGGAAAATACTCRTTTGGTCCCAAGGTAAAGAGCACTTCACACAACTGTAAATCTTTCGCCTCTCCCCTGAGAACGGAATGGGTCCTTGTGAGGTTGCAGGTTGTACAAAGCAAAGCTCACGCTGGCTGTACATGAAGCAGAACCAGGAAGGCTCAGCCTGTCTCCCAGGAAATTCTGCCGATGGCTACTGTGAATCCAGACAGCCCATCTCTCCTAACTATTTATGTTTCTGCTTATCCATCAATACTTTTTGACTATGTGTTCATAAAAATATTTCAACRATTTTTCCTTATTGCCCTATTTTGTGTCCCAGGCTCACAACACACACAAYTGGTTTTATTAGGATGAACCTGGAGCTAGCTCAGGCAGGCATGTCCTGGAGCACAGGATCACACCAGGGCACTCCGGGGAGTTTGCATAAACCGGCAAAACCTCAATGTTAGTGGGATCCCAGCCCTCTGATCATGGAGAGCTGAAACTCTGAGGGACAGTGGCCATCCCCCCAGATGGACAACAGCAGAGCACGAGCAACCAGGATAAGCAGCCAGGGCATCTGCTCACTCTGCTCCAAAACCAGCAGCTGAGAYCCAACAACAAAACCATGGCAGGGCCCCACGGAAAGGTTCAACAAGACAATGTGCTCTGTTGTACTCACTGCTCCCACAGCAAATCAATAAAGGGGTGCTGGAAGATAAACTCGGGCGCAGTGACCCCATGAATCCGCACGGGGTGTGTGTCACTGTCCTCTGATCGCAGCAGGAACACTCCCTGTGCCTGCCCGGTGCTGGCCAGTGCCTCTGGAGAACTGGCTGGGGCTTGGAGCTGGCCAGCCTGCCTCTGTGCAGCCTGACAGAMTACAAAAAATAATCTATCAATTGAGAGGGAATTAAGGCATGTGGAGAACAAAAAGAATCTGCAGAGAAAAATCTTACCGGTACATCCTTTTCTCTCTGGTGTCTTGAAAATACATTTTTCATCCTTTTTTCATGCCTGGAAAAAACCAAAGTGCTCTGAAATAAAATAGTGCAAACCTAGTACTATACATGATTTTTTTTCTCATAACAAGTCCCAGTCTTATCCTTTTTCATCCTTACTTTTCTGTCTCAATAGTTCTGTAAAATGAACTCTATAGTCATTTTTTTAAAAAAGATAAATCAACACTTTGGGTTACATTTACTTTTTGTAAGGGTTTGTCAGTTTCCCTGTAAGGCAGGAAGAAGTTGTAATRAAACCAGCATGAATGATTTCACTTCTGCATAAATATTCTGGAGTGTCAGGRTGTACCTGATACATAGCGTCTTCTAAATAAGGGAAGAAGTGAAAAAATCACCTCAAMTCTGTGTCTTCTGACCTTCCTAAAAATGTCACGAATAGTCAAGTAACTTTCCAGAAAAAAAGATACATGCACATAAGCACAAATATATATACCCAAGATGTCTATATATAGATAGGTTCTGTGAGAAATTAAATGTTTTTCCTAGCCAAGTAGTTAGTTCAAACTATTCAAATGAATTCTCAAATGAACTCTCAATTTTTAATCATCATTCATCACTTACCTTGGTAAGGTAATACTCCTTGAAGGAGTATTTATGAGATTATTTCTCAAAAGAAGCTTTTTTTCTTCCAACAGTTTATAGTGTTTTTGTGGCATGCTATAAAGCAAAGGATGATGACTCATTTAAGTAATTTTGCACTGCTATAAATTCTACCCTTGGAAGTTATACCACAGCTGTCTTTTTAAGAAAGGATGTATAGAAATAAAGACAACATTTATATTGGAGATGAACATGTTTTAAATCAACTAACACAAAGTGTAAAAATAATCTTTAAATTAATTTAATTTAAATATTTTTAAATCTTTGTTTCAAACAGGAGCAAAGTAATTTTCACATTATATCATATAGGAAGAAAGTGGGAGAAGCACGCTGCACATTCCTCTGTTTTAGCCCATCAGGTTGAAGTGGGCTACCAACCCCAGAAATAATTCTGAACAATATTCCAAGTTGTTCTGTGGGTTGTCCATGTTTAGCAGCACCAGTGGGAGCCTCCTCTGCCTGCCTGCCTCCCTTCCTGGCTCAGCCACCCATGCAGAATGGTCACCCATAGTGTCTGAGGAAGAAAATACTTATTTTTCCTGTCTTCTGAATTTTTTTTTTCCCCCACCATGTTGAATGTTTTCTCTTCTACCTAGGGCATTTTCTTTCCACCTTCATCTGATAGGTTTAAATATAGCTCTGTTTTTGTTTTTTTCTTCCTTTATTCATCACTCAGACTGAACAGAGGAGCAGAGGATAATGCTGCTGTAGTTGTTTTCTGAGAAAAGAGCTGTTGTTTTCTGAGAAAAAAGCAGGAAATCCACCAGCTGCATGAAAGTTGAGGTGATACAGATATGACAGAGCAAGAGAGAATTTCATTAGGAAAAACAATTTTTGAGACAAGTATTTTTTATGGTGTTTGAGCCCTCCACTTCTCTCATGCAAATGTGGTAGAAGACAGGAGGAGTAAAAGTGTTAAGAACAAGGACTGAGCCTGTCAAATCAGGCAGGCTTGCTAAAACAAATGGATCCTTTTAGGCTAGGTTGGATTTGCTCARTGCAATGTTTATAGCTGGGCAATAAATACACAGAAATCTTACTATTTTGCCAAGGAGCTGAAAATATCCTTCAGGCCAAGCCAAAGACACTTCTTTCTAATTTGAGACTCCAGTGCAAACTGAAATTCTCTCTCACACAGATGCACCATTTTTTTTTTTCTGAACCTCAAAAAAAGTTTTCAGACATTTGGCGCTGAGCAGGAGCTGAGCCAAAGACCACAAACCATCTCAGGTTTCCCCTGATGGCAAACACACTGGGAAACACCAGACAGCTCTGCATTCATTGCTGATGGAGTACTCAGAATATTCCTCACAGCCCTTTTCAAGTGCTTCCTCACACACCCTTCTGTCTGTTTTACTGTATTTCGATCAAAGAACAAACCTGTCATTTATACMTTTGAACAACACTCTTGAGGATGGCAGCCAAATCAAAAGCTTACTCATAAGGGGCAGCTCTCTATTAAGGGGCACTGCAGCCCCCATCTGCCAGCCTGACAGAGATGCAGGAGATCTGTGCTGCCTGCCAGGAACTACGATCCATGATGCTGCCAAGAGAGCACCCCAAAATGCCAAGAAATGCCAAGTACCAGCTACTACTTTTTRATGTGGGTGCAAAGGATGCCACAAGGCAAAAATGGGCAGGATCAAATATGGCCATAAAGCCCTGGTGAGGCAAGTGGAAAATACCAGTGCCCAAGTCCTCTTCACCTCTACTACCAGCTGGAAAAACAGAGACAGCCAAAATCAGAGGCATAGTGCTGATAAAGACCTGGCTTCCCAATTGGTCCCATTGAAGAGCTTTTGGCTTTTATGACAGTGGGTTGTGCTTTAATGATTGCAACCTGTTAGGGAAGAGTAGGGTCCACCTGTCCAAGAGCAAGAGAATCTKTGGCAGCAGGCTGGCCCTTTGGCAGCAGGCCATTCAGTTTGGTGAGACAGGCTTTACACGGAAGGACTGGAGGAAAGGGATGCACTGTGTCCCAGGTGGCAACACTCCTGCCACTGCTTCCTGCTGGGGAGTAGGTCACATCAACATKAGGAAGAACTTAAGCTGAGAGTGGGAAAGCACTGGAACAGGCTGTCCAGGGAGGTCCTGGGGTCTTCGTCACTGGAGACATTCAAAACCCACCTGGATGCTCTCCCATTTCTCCCTGGCTCTAGGTGAATGCCCTGGCTTCAACCAGGGCAGGGTTAGCTTTTATTGCTGCCAGGAGGGGCACAGCCAGGTTATTCTATACCAGCTCACACCCTGCATAGAAGGGACAGAAGGGGCAGGGKTTTTCACTGAGGTGTGCAGGGTGTGCCCTCAGGTGGCAAGGGCACCAAGCAATCCATGTCAATCATTTGCCTATCCTGTACACTCTTAGTATTGCTGTTGTTGCTGTTTATTTTCTTATTCCATTGCTGTTTCTAGTAAGTTCTCATCTCAGCCCRTGATCTTCACCTCTTTGTSCCTCCAGTTCTCCTCTCCATCCCACCACAGAGGGGAAGGAAGGGAGATGCCCCACGTATGKGGTGTTTCAGTGGGAACACTTAATTGAGGAATATCACTCCTAAATCATGTCAGTGACCCTGCCTCGGCAGGAGTGCTGGATTAGATGTTCTCCAGAGGTCCCTTCCCACCTCAACTAATTCTGGGATTCTGAGAAATTCTGCTCTTGATTTCAATACTCCTGCTTTCCCAGGAATGCCAGCATGCCTCTCCTAAAAGCGTGAACACACATCTATTGGCTGCTTTAACTGCACWCGCACAGCTCACAGGAGATTCCCTGTGAATTCAGCTCTGTTGCTTGCAGGTGCACACAGAATGGTCTGAAGGCAGCAACCACCAGAAGATGGAACTTTAAAAGGTCCTGCAAACAACAGTGTAAACACTGAATGAAACAGATTTAGGCAGTGACAATTGTAGAGAATGCAGGTCCACCCAGTCCGAGGTCTTTTGGAGAGCTGTTGAGGTTGGACAGCTAAGCACCATCTGCTTCSTCTGTTGGGAATGGGTAGGTTCCCATGAAAATATGCAAGAGCCAAGTTCCTTCTGGATGCACATTTTCCTTCCCTGACTGAAGAGGGAAGCTCAGCCAGTCAAGTTCCTAACATCAGCATCTTAAGTAAAAGCTTGGCAGTCAGTGCAAAGTAGACTCTTAAGTTCCTTCTAAATCAGAGGTACTGGTATATGGGCAGACTTGAGAAACAAAGCAGTGCTTTCTCCCTGCAAGTCATCTGCTGTCATGTATTGTAAGAAAAATTATTTCAACCAGGGTAGTCCAGAGCTGCGTTGTAATAACRTGAATGACTAAAATATGGTATTTTCAGCTTTTATTAAAAAAAACCCAAGACATCATTTTTACATTTCAGAGTATTTTCAAACAAGGCCTTTTTGTTAAAGCTTTAGTTATCTAAAAGGTGTCTACATAATTCACACCTGCAATGAAGCTTTGCAAGTCACACCATAGTCACCAAACAGCTATATTGCACAAAGATCCACACAATACCACACCATTTTTAGCTTAGTCTACATTGTAAAGTGCTGTTTCATAGGGAGACACTTGAAAAAATAATTATCTGGATAGGCAAGTACTGCTGAACTGTATTTCTGAAAGCTGACACTTCCATGGTAGTGGAAMAATATCACAGCGTGTTGTCAGTGCCTCTTGACAGTGTGTTTTTTATTTAATAAGCTGGAGTAAGCACCAAAGAGTACTGTCTGGAATGCATACTRAGTATTCAAGTAACACCAAAAGCCAAATCAATTTTTAAACTCAGAATGAGATAAATACAAACAGATATATCAAAAGGTAGATAAATGTTTAAAGTAGCATCAGTTTCTGTCCGGTAGAGTAAGTAATTGCATAGCAGAACACATTGTAAATTAATTTAAAACTGCAGTAGAAAAAAAGCCCCTACATTTTTTATTTCTTGCTTTTATAGTCTCAAACCAGTAATCTTTTTCAAATCAATGAATCTGAGACCCTGTCTTCATATCTATGACAGAGTGTTCCATTTAAGAATATTTCCATGAAGTAACAACAGGTCTGGTGATTTAAATCCAGGTGCTTATAAAAAACCTAAATGTGGAAATGTGGAGTGCTMATCATGCTAATCATAACATAAACTCTCTAATTTAGACAAGTTTCTGAAACACAGGACTCAAAAATGAAACCTTTCTTTGCGGAAAGAGATTTAGTCTAGAAACACCAAACCAGAAAGTTCAGCCCTACAATCTATAGCTTTAAGCTGATACTTGTTTTGGTAGATGAACTGACCATTGCCAATTATACAAGGGGAGAAGTCACAGCTACTGAAGTGAGAATCCCTTCTCCTGGGTCTGTCTGACTGCTGTGCTCACACGTGCAAGATCATGACTCACCGACTCAACGGAGTATACTAATGTAAGAGTTTTCAGTGCTTGACTTGTGGTTTAATAAATATTGAAGGGGGAAAAATAAGTGGAAGGAACAAAAAAAAAMCCTTAACCACAGAGACATCTGCTGAGTGTCATTACAACTTAGTTTGTTCCAAGACCTGGAAAAGCAAATAAACAAAGAAATTGTCATATTTGTGCTACCGATGAAACTATTTGGGAACATCCAMGCCTAAAAGTGACAGAAGAGCTGCAGAGGGCCCACAGAACTTAGTGACTAGGTAAGCAAGCATTATCAACAGTGGCAAATGCAAAACAGCACRCCAGCTGGGGAAAACCCTCTGTGCACAGCTAACTATCAGGACTGCATGAAAAACRCCGCAGAAGAAGCTTCATCATCAGCCCACGATTGGGTATCAACCAAAAAGCAGACAAATATGGTTTTAGGACTACAGAAAGAAGGGAAACACAAAATTTTGTCATCCTTCACAGCAACARTGTTTTATGGACAAACTGTTCAGTCAGCCTCAGCAGGTGAGAAGAGAGCAATGGCTTCAACCCAGCAAGAGGGAAGAAGAAAGGGAGGGAATGACAGAAATGAAAGGCTATGATGATAACCACCTAAAAGAGAAGAAATTACCAAAAGGCTAACTAGTAAGGGACAATTGCCTTTTCTCCTGCAAGAGAAAATTGCAAAAGACATCCCCCATTTCACACCTGCTGCCTGGGACTTTTCTCACACAAGTGAGAAGTGTTTCTCACACAACTCACACTGAATCTGTGGAGTGCAATTCCACACAGCCTTATCAAGACAGAAACATTTGCAGGTGAGATCCAGACAAGCAGCTGCCCTTGCTGAGCCTTTCTAGCCCCCAAAGGGCTGTCATACTCAYGCTGGCACAGACAACCATTTCTGACAATTTTTCCTGACAGAGGTCCCTGTCAGAGGCTTAGGAGGAAGGACACTGGGAGGGGTGGACTCCARGTCAGATCAGTACAACAGTTCAGACAGCAAAGCCCGTGGAAGTTTTGCATTATGACCTACATTCACATAACTGTATTGTGATTTTCAGGTCCCATTTCACAGCTGTACAGCTGCATACATGTACTCGGCATATGTCACACACATTCATCAAGATGCAACGCTATCCCCAAATTAGAGAGCATATCCCCAAATTAAAAAGCATATCCCCAAATCAGAAAGCACCAAGTACTTATGAGAAACATCCTTCACTTCAGATCCTTATTCTTCCACAAGTCAACAGTACAAAGCACTGTTTTATATATAGGATTCTATAAAGAGAGGCAGCCCACCTCCATTYCCAGCAAGATCATGTAAGAGATCCTCCTGGAAGACAAAACTTATGGAAGACAAGAAAGTGATCAGGGACAGCCAAATGAGTTCACCAAGGGCCAAGAGTGCCTGACTCACCTAGTGGCCTTCTGTGACCAAGTGACTGCACCAGTGGATAAGGGAAGAGCCAMGAGATACCTGTACCTGGACTTCTGTAAGGCCTTTAATAGGATCCCCCACAACATTCTTACYTCTAAACTTGAAAAAATAGGGGTTTAATTGAACAGACTGTTCAGCAAACAAGGAATTCGCTGGATAGCTCCAGCCAAAGAATGACAGTCAACAGCTCAATGTCCAAGCAGAAACCAGCAAGGAGTGGTGTCCCTCAAGGGTCTGTACTGACACCAGTGCCAATGTGGGTTTCTTGAGGTTCCCCAAGAGCACAAGATCCTGCACTGGATCCAGGAAATCCCCAGTATCAATACAGACTAGGGGATGGAGAGCAGTTCTGCAGAGAAGGACYTGGGCATCCTGGTGGATGAAAAATTGGCCATGAACCAGCAACGTGTGTTTGCAACATAGAAAGCATCCTGAGCTGCTCGTTGGCCATCAGGGCAAGGGAGATGATTCTCCCACTSTGCTCTACCAAGAGCCCACCTGGAATACTGGGTTCAGCTCTGGGGCCCCCAGTACAGAGTGGTTCTCGTACCAAGTGGTACCAGACGGGAGGCACAAAAATTGTTARAGGGCTGGAATACCTCTCCTACAAAGACATATTGTGAGAGATGGAATTGTTCAGCATGAAAAAGGCTCCAGAGAGACCTTATCATGGCCTTTTAATATATAAAAAAGGGATTTAAAAGAAAGATGGGGAGAGAGAGAGAGAGAGACCTTTTACCAAGGCCTGGAAAAGCCGGACAAAGGGCAATGGTTTTAAACTAGAAGAGGTTAGATTTAGGTTGGATATAATGAAGAGATTTCTACCAATAAGGGTGGTGAGACATTGGAGAAGGTTTCCCAGAGAAGCTGTGGATGCCCCATGCCTGGAAGTGTTCATGGTCAGGTTGGATGCAGCTCTGAGCAACCTGGTCTAGTGGAAGSAGTCCCTGCCCATACAAGAGGGGTTGGAACTAGATGGTCTTTAAAGGTCCCTTCCAGCTCAAGCTGTTCTGTGGTTCTAYRATTCTGTGGAAAAACTATTATGTAATATGATTTTTAAGGAACTGAAATTTGAAGGGAGACATCCTTTAAGGCAGAAATTAGGTCTCAAAACTTAATCAGTGCATATTTAACATTCTCACTAAGAAAAATCCAAGCTGCTAGTAGATTAAAAAAAATAATGTACAAAAGCAAGTATTAAAAGAAATACCTGATTTTTTTTTTTAATTCATGTATGATTACTCATATCAGTAACTCATTTSCTTTTTCCTAAATACCAGGTATTATTATTCACACATGCAAACATTTCTGATTTTTKACTCCAAATTCTGACATTTAAGGTACAATTGCACTTTCTTTTAGATAGCTCATAGTAAAAGCCTGGAAGRTTAAAGAAACTTATCATTATGACACCAACTATATGACACAGTGTGTCAGAACTCGAGTTTTAACTTACAATCACATTAAGGGTATACAACATGCAATCAGATTCAAGTTTACCTTCATCATTCCAAGTATAACTTAAACGTTCAACACCATTTCTGATTTCTTCCTCTTTTATACTGTATTTTTTTAAATGCTATTTTAAAGTACTGAAAGGCCCAACTGGTGCTCAGTGGTTAACTGGAAAGCATTCACAGTTACCCCACAGAAGCATTCAGGCAGATTTCTTATGAGGAGAATGGCAATCACATACTGTCAGCTTTGACCTCATTAAATACAAAACTGACTTTGTATGGATTTAAGTTAAACAAAAGGCAGATTTCTACCCTGAAGAATAAATTTTGGTTGCTAGTCCTGAAGAGTAYATTTTGGTTGCTAGCCAGACTTCTTCCCTGCTTCCCCCAGGAAAACAAGTCAGTGGAGAACAGCATTGCACAGATCACAAGAAAGGCAGGAGAATTCCTMTGGCGCAGGAAGCGCCTGGACCATTTATTTTAAAAAAATCACGGCCCAGAGGCTTGTGAGCAACACGTAGGTAAAATGCAATCAATCAGGACTTAAAACTAAGGTAGAATTCTTCTGCTTTCATTTTCCACCTCAGAAGAGCGATGGGAAAGGATCCCTGCCCTAGATGCCATCGTGGTACTCCCTGTACTTGGCGGTGACGGGCTCCTCGAGGCGCACGGCCGCGCCGCCCATCAGCGCGAACGCCGGGTACATGAGGCCGGAGCAATCCACCTCGCACTCGTACAGGCACTTCATACGGCCTGCGTCGTAAAACCCCACCCTGCCTCTGTCACAGTCGAGGCAAATGCCCAGCGACGACGGCAGGGGAAGGATTCTGCTCGCTGGATCCTTGGGAGCCGCAGGTGTGGCAGGGATGAAGAACTTCTTCATGCCCAAAGTGACCAGCGTGCAAGGCTGCGATGAGTCAAAGAAGGCGTCTTCGCTACCACTGTCATGGCCGCTGTCTTGCTCGTATCTGCAATGGAGAAAAAGCACGTGCTTTCGCCAAATTCTGAAGTGGGACAAGCGATGTGAACTGGASGAAACGTTTTTTTCTAAGGCAAGCAATACCACATGATCACCCAAAAAACTTTGTGGAGTAAAAAAATCATAGAATATCCTGAATCTGAAGTAACCACAAACAACATCAAAATCTAAGCCCTGGCCCTGCACAGGAAAACCCCAAGAGTCACACCACGTGCCTGAAAGCATTGTCCAAACACCTCTTGAGCTTTGTCAGCCTGGTGCTGTGACCGCTYTTCTGGGGGGGCCTGTTCCAGTGTCCAACCACCCTCTGGGTGAAAAACCTTACCTAATATCCAGCCTAAACCTCCCATGACATTTTTATGCCATTCCTTTGAGTCCCGTCAATGGTAAAAAAGAGAAGAGGCCAATGTCTGACTCTCCACTTCCCCTCAGTCTCCTCTTCCCCAAAGTGCACCTCAGTCATTCCTGCAGGGCTTCCCCTACAGACCCTTCAAAATCTTAATGGCCCTCCTCTGGWTGCTCCTCAATAGCTTAATACCTTTCTTAAAATGTGGCACCCAAAACTGCCCCCAGCACTGGAGCTGAGGCCGCCCCAGGTCAGAGCAGAGCGGGACAATCCCCTCCCTTGCCCGGCTGGCCATGCTGGGCCTGATCCCCCAGGACACGGGTGGCCCTCCTGGCTGTCAGGGCACTGCTGGATCATGGTCACCTTGTCATTGACCAGGACCCCCAGGTCCCTTTCCTGCACTCATTTCTGCTCTCCAGCCTCTCATTGCCCAGTCTGTACATCCAGGGTTATCCCATCCCAAGTGCAGAATGCAGCACTTTTCCCTTGTTGAATTTCACATGGTTGGTGCCTGCTCAGTCTTCTCATTTGTCCAGGTCTCTCTGCAGGGCCTCCCTGACCTCGAGAGAGTGGACAGCTCCTTCCTGTTTTGTATCTTCCATGACCTTGCTTAGTAACCCTTCCAGTCCTGAATCCAAGCCATTTATGATGATGTTGAAGAGCACAGGGCTAAGAATGGAACCCCTGTGGAACCCACCAGTGACAGWTCTCCAGTCTGATGTCACCCCATTCACTGCAACCCTTCGTGCCCAAACCAAGAGCCAGTGAGCAACTCCCATCCCATGGTGTGTTTATCCAGCTGTGTGCTGGACAGTTTTTCCAGAAGGATCCTGGGAGAGACACCATTGGTCAACTCAGTGGGTAACCTTTGTCATGTAAGGAAAGTAAGTTTTTCAAGTAGGACTTTCCCCTGGGACTGTATTGTCCTTCAGGTGTTGTTCAGTAATTCCCAGATTAATCTCCATAAATTTACCAGACACTGAAGGGAGACTGACAGTCTGGCCTGTAGTTACCAGTGTCATCCTTCCTGCTATTCTTGAAAACTGGAACATTTGCCAGCTTCCAGTTGACTGGCACCTCCAAAGACCATTGAAACATCAGAGGTGTCACAGTTACATCAGGCAGCTCAGTACCCTAGGATGAATCCCATCAAGTCACACAGACTTATAGGGATTTGGGTGGAACATCAAATCCTGCCCAAGTTCGGGGTTGGCTGGGAGTTTATCATTCTCACAGTCGTGGTCCTCAAGGTCTGGAACCCCCAAAGCCCACCACTGGTGTTGAAAACCAAGGTCAATAATACATTAAATATCCCCGTCTTGTTTCTGTCCCTGTTAGTGAGGCAACTACCATCATCCTGTAACAGGCCACTGGTATTTCCAAATGCTTTTTGCTATCAAAAAGTACTTTAAAAAAAAAAAAACAAACCTTCTTATTGTTTCCCACATTTCTGGCCAGCTTCAACTCTAGCTTTGGCCACTTGAATTYTCCCCCTCAAATGTCAAGCAGTGTCTTTGTACTTCTGACATGTTGCCTGACCTTGCTTCCACTGCCCACACCCTTCTTTCTTCGCCTTAGCTCTGGAAGATCTCTGCTCAGTCAAGCCAGCCTTCTGTCTCTCCTGCTTYGCTTGGGACATTTTGGAATTGCCTGCTCCTGTGCCCTTAGGAGGAGGTGCTTAAAAAATGACAGCACTGATGGACCTTCAATATCTGTTTCCCAGGGGACTTTACTCATTTTCCTGAGCAGCCTGAAGTTTGCTCTCCTCATGTCCAGGGCTGAGGTTTTGCTGGCACTTTTCCTCCTGACAACAGAAGTTTTAAATTTGATGGCTTTGTGGTTTCTGTGGCCAAGACAGCCACTCATCTCCACTCCACTCACAAGATCCTCTCTGTTAACAAGGAACAAATCAAGGAGGGCACCTTTCCCAGCCAGTTCCCTTAGTACCTATGCAAAGAAGTCATTCAGGTGCTTTAGGACTCTTCTGGACCCATTCGTAGTGCTCCCAATTAACATCWGGCAAGCTGAAGAGCCCCAAGAGTATAAGGACAGTTATGCAGAGATATTCCTTAGTTCCTTAACGAATATTTAATAAGTGTTGTCATTCCGGCTGGGTGAGCTGTAGTAGATTCCCACAGTGACATCCACTTTGTTGGTCCCTTAATCCTTGAGAGGTTCTCAACTGTACCATTGCCAACGGCAGGCTCCATACATTCCAGAGGTTWTATCACATACAATGCCACCCCCGCCTCATCTGTCCTGCCTGTCCCTCTGAAGAACCTGTAACCTAACCCTGYCCCCAGATAAAGACACACACTTTCTTCAGTACAGACATTCCCTACCTAGGATTTCAGTTTTGGGGTGCCTGTGGGGACAGCTGTTTCTGTGTCAACTAAAGTTTTGCAGGTATCTATGTGGAAGAGGAAAAAGGAATTAGGAAAATCTAATTTCTCACTTTACAAAAGGTTCTATCTGGCTTATGAAGCTTAATAATCTGCTGATATATTTTCTGTGTGTTACACAGGAGGAAGCCAAACATTTAATAAATTTTTGAAGAGTCCCCAGCAGACAGCCTCTCTGCCTCAAGTTCCTACACACATCCAGGCTTGCTACAACTGTAATTGACAGACGGAAATCTTTTTGCTGGTTTGCCCATTGTACTTTGGCTTGTGCTCAGAGGCACTCCAATACAATATGTAAGCATCTAGCCCAGGCTAAAGCAGTGACTTGGAATCCACTATGACACCAGCTACTACAAAACCACACAGATGTGCACAGTGAATACAGTACAGCCAAAAGGCTGCCAAACCTTGTATGCTAATGGCATTAAGGCWGTCTTACTACTGATAATTAAGCATGGCTTCAATCTTACAACTWACACTTATTTTTAGCCTTCTTGTTCTAACTGACATTACCTGCCCTCTATGGGAACCTGACTTCTTTCCCCAAAACAAAGAAACTAGGACTCTGGATAATCAGGACATCTTYTGCTAATAGTAAGGGATAAACATGACAACCTGTTTACACCTTATTCTTCAGACTTTTCACTGGTTAGGTTCACCTTGTGTACAGAGACCAGACTTGCTCTTAATTTACTTTTTAAAAAGTAAATACATCTTATGTATTAAGCAAAACTCTGCTATTTACCTTGGACTGGTCACATCATGAGTATTGTGGAACAATTTCTGTATCTTGTTGCTAGGAACAACTCCCACTTTCACCAGGTATGAGTAGGCTTCCACATGAAAAGCCCAGAAGTGCTTCCCTTTGGCAATCCCAGTGTCACCAATGATGTAATCCAGGGTTGTGTAGCATCCAACCTGCAAGCGCTCAGATCCCAGCAGCAGAGGAAATCCAGCCCAACTTTCCACAGAGGTTCTTCTTGGGTTCAACTGGAGATGCTCATTGTTGTACCCACATTTGTCATCAAAAAGAAAACTGAAAACTGAAAAACAGTATCCCAAAAAAATTCTTCTTAGTTACGTATTTGGCCTTCGGTGTTTGTAAACTACATTTTAAGCTATACTGGCATTAGAATTTTATCCTTCTAAAGGCTACCAGGACTGTCATGCAAGTTAAGAGTCTCTGTGTGTTACCTACTTAACATTTAACAATGGTTCTAAGCATTTGTGCAACTGGTACCAGCATAGGAGACATCTGGGAGCTACTGGAAACTACTRCCAGCTCTTAATACTGACAGACATAAGAAAAACCCCGTACCTGGAGCTGGAGGAGTACGCAAAATAACTTCTCGGCTCCAAGGGCTACAGATGGACCCTTTGTATCCTCGAACCCTAAAGGCATAGCTACTATCATCATCAAGATCAGATAATACTTTGCTCTGGCCACAGACTTCAGTCTTCTGCCATGTCACACTCTCCTCTTCTCTGCTGAGCTTATGATACTCGAGCACATAGATATCAGCTGAATCTGTCTTCCCAGGGCATTCCCAACTGATCAGAGCTTTGTTGTACATTCTGCTCTTCTCTTCATTGATTTCTGGTATTTCTAGACCTGGAACACATGAAGAAAATACTCTAAAATTTAGATACATGCTGTTTTAGGATTAACCATACAACCAGTCATGGGTAACCCAAACTGTTACTTTATTCCATGTGCACCTGTGAGATTTCAGCCACTTTGTAACTAGGGACTAYTCTTGTTATTTTTGGCCCACTGCTATTCCAGTTTTATAGTAAACTATTATTTTTTCACTTCTATCTACTCATATTTGTTTTTCCTTATTGGTGGAAAGGGATTGGTTAAAACTATAAGGGTAGGAAGCTTAAAATTGGCTTAAACCAAGACACAACCCCTTCCCTGAGTGGCTATAGCACTCTTTAAAAAGGGAATCTGACTCACTCAGTGAAAGGGAACAGATGAGGATGCTTCTYCCTTCATACATTTAAATAAATCCCCTATTTTCTGTTTTTACTTTGAAAGGCTTGAGCCTTTTTTTTCTGGCAGCTAGGGAAAAAAAGCACATTAAAAACTATTATTTTCTGTCATGCAATAAAAAGCTTTTAGGAAAACTGAGTATGATGTAACTACAGTATTTTGGAAGCCATTGTAAACTGGTACAGAAGGGACAATGCAACTCTCAAGACTGAGCTCTGCAACTGCTGCCCTGTGCAAGTTTTGCCTTTCTCCAGAGAAGCCCYGGAAGACAGAACTTGAGAAAAGACCTGATGCTCTCAGAATTTACCATTGGAGTGGAAGGACAAATCACCAAGGATGTCTTCTTGCTTGGCAGTGTCCACCACAAAGTCTTCAAAAGTAGTTTCAGCTGCTGGCCTAAAGCTCTTCAGAGATTCGGTGGCTTTTTGGATTCTGAAAACACAGAAGAAGCAGGATGGCACAAAAGAGAAAAGGAAATTCAAGTGGACATTCCTYAGAAGTACAAATAAGTTCTGCTTTCATGTACTTACTGATGTCTCCCCAAAATTCTGATTTCTCCAGAAAGATTCTCAAATGCAAAATTTCAAGGCCTTTTGTGCATCAGTGTAAACATAATGAACAGGTAATCATTCAGTTGGCAAAGCATTTGAACAATTTGGAGCATTATGTTCAAAGAACAAAACTGATGTGAAGCACTAGCAGAGAACACAAAGATCAAAGAGCTTAAAGCCAGAAGAGACCTGCTAGAAAAACTTGCAAACACCTGATCTGATACAATCTCTGAGCAAAGGAATTTGTCAGAGAGCTGAACAGACCATCCTTCCAAGGCAGTCCCACTGAACAAGGCAAGGAATTGTGGTAGGATAAGAGCCCTTCTCTCCTCAGTGGGGYTTCCTAATGCACACTCTAACACAGGAATTCCAACAGAACATCACCAGGACCATCTCCCAAGCCTCTGACATACAAGGTCCTGCATTCAATACTTTGCTATTAGCCGTATGAAGAACTGCACAGACATCCTGGAACAGTACCTGCACCTCACACAGAAGATATTGAAGATACCTGACATGAAGTTGTTTTGCTGTTTGAACAAAACAGGAGGGATCAGTTTCTTTAAGTACTTCTTGAGCATATCCTACAAGGCCATTATTTTCCAGGAGCCCTTGGTATTCTTCCACTTGTGTTTGCAATTTTTCCAGCCGTATATTCTTAGAGGTTTCAATTGCCCTGAGAGCTGCAGATTTCTTCTCTTCCAGGACATAATACAATTTCTCAAAACTCTGAGATGCTTCTTGTTTAGCTCTTTCACTGTTGCACTAGGAGCAAACAAAAGACATTTTAGACAGATTCTGTATCACTGTGGCTCTGTACAGAAATGTACTCTAGGCTGTTCAAGACACCACAGTAATCTAGTCATCCATTTGACAGACAAGATTAATGAGCTTTGCTATGCTGTTCAGCATTGAAAATGAGATCAGCACCCARGCTAGTCAGAATTTGCTTTCTTTACCAGAGAGTGAAGAGCAGGGACCCATTCCTCGATTATGTCCTGCATTATGCCTTACATTTGTCTTGATAGCTCATGAAAAAGCTCTGTAAAAACGCATCAGTCTCTGAAGTCTTCACACCCAAGAGCCAGATGCTCTTCCACCTTTCCCAACCACCCTGAGCTGTGGGTCCAGCCCAGTTTCTCATGCACACCCTCTGAAGTGTAGTGCCACCTCTAACCACTGCCCCGGACAAAAGGAACAAAGCACAGAGGCAGTCTGTAATCAAGAAACACCAGTACCAGGTGCTCCTACAATTTCTCCTGTGGTGTTTTTCAGCTTCTGTGTGAGCTTCCAGCTGTGACTGTTCTGCAGGGAGATTTTGCCCTTAATTCTGACTTTCTCAAGGTAAGCAGGCAGCTTTAATAGTGCACCATCACTAATACAGAAATGTCCTAAGTCTAACCCACTTGTCTTTGGTTAAGRTATCAAGTAAGCTTTATTTCATTTAAAGTTACAGCAGCACCCAAAAACRAACTTCTCTCTGTGTTTTCCACACTGGCAGGACTAGGTCTCACCTTGTGTGAGTCTGTACTAACATGAACTGTTCAAAAATTGTTCTAATACTTAACTGAAAAAACCCAAAACTTGAAACACTTCACTGAAAACAGTTGTGAGTCCTTGCTGTGTGTCTACAAAGSCCAACCCACACAACCTGCAAGCCACTCTTACCTCTGTTTCTTTCAGCAGCAGATCCAGCTGTGTGATGTGAGCCTTCACCTGGCTCTCCTTACTGATGAGGTACTCGATATCTTTTGAAAGCTTCTCCTGTTGAAGTAAAACAGTGAGAATTTCATACAAAGTGACAACCAGCACAGCCAGGTCATCAAGCTGGTCCTCAGTTTATCTAGCCACAAGGATAACAGCCTGACACCAGGCTCAGCAGCAATCCTGTGCAGAATTGTTCAGTGACCTGCGGTGACTGCAAAGTGACTGTGAGCAAGGCAGGTGGCACAGCCTCTGAGGACAAGAGGTAAGAGTGTCAGCGGGCTCTTTCTTCCCCAATCACCCAGCAGTCATCCTCTCCTAGGTTAGGAACATGAGGCTTCTGGACATTAAAGTTACAGGAAGGAGTTGTTAGTTATTAACGCATTTGTAGTAAGAGCTGCTAGAAAAAGGAGTGGCTCAAATCACAGACTTAGAAGTGTCTGCACTTCCTTAGCTGCAAGAGTTAGCAGCTGTACAGGAAAAGCCTTGCAAACTGGTGAGGAGGCAAAAGAGCACAAGGCAGCCTAGTCTGGTCTTTTTTTTTTCCTTTTTTTTTCCTCCTGCGAGCAACAGAGGAAGAAAAGGAAGAAGAGGAAGTAGATGCAGTCTTTAATAACAAACTGATGTTTGCAAGTCTTCCCCGTTGTGCTGTGCACATGCAGCTTCAGAAACCGTATATGAACTCTTAACAGATACTTTATATGCTAATTTTTCAGGACTGCTTCTCAAGTATCAGCTACCACAAGCTACCTTTAAAAAAAAAAAATGACTGCGTATACCTTCTGCGCAGTCTGTACTGCTGAACAATCAGCTGAGATAAGGTGAAAGCAACTTTTAAGGGGTGATGTTTCAAGCATCACAGCAAATGCATTTAGTTCCTCAGGCATGCCCTACGTCACACTAACATATACATTAACCAATGCTGCACAACAACAGGCCTCAAGTCTAGCTCAGGGTCTCCAAAACACMCATCCTGGCTTCCAGCCAGAGGGAGTTTGCCCTTACATCAGAAGTACCCTTTSCCTTCTTAAGGCCCGGGCCAATGATGTTTAATTTTACCTTAAGGGTTTTGTAGGCAGTGCTCATGGTTGTTACTCTGTGGTTTGCATGACTTCCACCCAGTTTACAAAGATGACAAACAKGCCTCCTGCAGATCTCACAGTACATATTTACCCTCTCCATTTCATGTTCTGGACACATCAAAATCTGTGGGGAAAAAAAAAGAGAAAAGAGAATACAAAAGCTGAGGTTCTCAACAAACAATCAAAACACCCAATCAACCCAAGGCAGCATGTGATTTTGTCACTGAATTTTTTTTAATCAGTTTATCTTCTATCTTTTGTATTTGTCAACAGCAGTGAAAGCCAGCAGTTTCTCAAGGTTTAGTGCAAGCAGTGTCYCAGTGTCTGTGCAGCCTCCACACAGCCAGCAACTTTATGCTAACCCCTGCCCACGTTGTTTGCATGCCTCCAGCACCCTACACTGCTCCTCAGAGCTGTAAATGCAAGATGTAACACACCCAGCCTGTCAAATTTAACCATGCTCATGCCAGCATCTCTTGCAACAGCTATGAACTCCTTCTTAAATTGAGAGCTGACATAACACTGTAGCAATCTAAGTCTAAGCTAGATTTTGATAAATCACATAGCCATTSCATTTGGAGTGACAAAGAGCAGCCMCCACCAGCAGCTACAGTCATTTCAAAGACAAAAGACCAGTATTTCAATCTTCCTCTCTGACTCGAAATACCAGCTGTTCAGTTCAAACAGCACTGCAAGAAAGCTGGTGTTAGCTAAAAATCATCTTYCAAAAACTGAATATGTTGAAATAAATGCTCAAAGTGTTAAAGAAAGTGTTGCTCAAGTCCAAGCTCAGGCAACAGATTAAATCATATAAGACCTCTGGTGTGTGTGYTAATTTAAAGAAACAAACAATGCTTTGCTTCATTCTAGAGTACTGAAAGACAACATTTGGGTCAYCTATTCCACAGAAGCTGCCAAAGAGGAGCTTTTGAGGAAGCTTTTCAGTTTCAATATGCCCCCACACAAGAAACGTCAGAAAAGGGAATAAAAATAGAGAATTGTGAGCAGCACAAATATAGACACAGTAAGATAAAACCTGAAACCAACTTTCAAGTCCCAGATGTTAGCTCAGGCTATGGTAAGTAGCCCAAAGACATCAGTCTCACCAGCCCCTCAGTACATTAAGATTATCATCAAGCCAAATATGCAACTAGTTGTTAGCAGTCAATGCAATCCCATTCGCATCGACTACTGGATTTGGAAGGAAATAAAAAAGGGGAAAAAGGAAGCTGCCAAGAAAATCAGCTGCGCCAGCAAACATCTCCAAAAATTACAGTCATTCAGTTAGTCTATGGAAGTAACTTTTCCACAGCAGTGTACAGCCACACCTCACAGACAACCTGTATTTTTATTCATCTCCTGAAAGAAGCAAGAATTACAGCCTGCAAGCGAGAGACAGCAGAGGTCAGCAGACTGCCTTGTCTAGTTCTCTCAAAACTCAAGAACAATCAGCCCAGTGTGTTCTCCTCCCATCCCCACCACACACGCTCCAAAGTGCTCTCCACCCTAGTTGTAAATTGAAGTGATGACTGAAAACATTGTTTAGGAAACCAAGAAATACTTCATGCTTTCAGCTCAGGTCTTGAAAATGCAGTGCAATGAAAAATGCACTTTTCCTTTTTTATATTAAGCTCAAACAGTCCTTAGAAAAGTTCCTATAAGCACACAGTAAAGATCAGATTACTGCTGTTGGGAAGGTTTTGAAAAAGTGGATATATCTAAAGTTGATTTAACTGTATTATGCTTTTCTCTTTTTTTCCCTCTTTCTGTTTTCACATATAATTAGAAATGCTAAATCCCACATGTGCACACATACTCAATACATCAGTGTCAGAACAATCTAAACTWCTTCAATCCAATTTGCTCTGCTTCAAGAGAATTCAGCTACTGACTTTTAATCCTGAATTCAGTCAGCATGAAGTATAAAGGTGCCCTGTGGTGCACGTTTACGAGGCACAAGGGTCACAAGATGCCTTTGGTATTTCCAAGTAGCAATGTTGCAGCTGCAAGGATTTRGATACCAGAGAAGTGAAATTTTTAAGGAGTTGTGCAACATTTTAAAGCAAGAGCAAGAAGACAGCACGCAAACTTACACATTTCTCATTCATCCAAGAGAGGGACATTTCACATAATGTGTGTGAGCACATTTTACAGCATATGAGGCATGTGCTCATTTTTAACTGCAATCAATGTGCTACACTCAAGAAAAACAGCACTAATGGGCTACTGGATGTTCACTATCTGCCAGCTTGCTCACTTTAGAGGCTCAAATTTTTCCAGACTCAGAAGGAAGGTCTACCAGCAGTYAAGAACTTCTTACACATTACACATTAATCAAATTTAATTAATTTAATCATAATTAATCAGGACTACTTGACCATCAGCATTTCTGGCATCTGTGGAACCTCCAGCAAGGAGGCACAGGCACACAGCAGGTGCTGGGACATTAAGCCCAGTTGTGGTTYCTGGTTAGCAATATGGCATCTGTGACATSCAACATCAGTGACATTACATTTAATTGTTCAATAAGGCACTGCCACGTACTGCACCATGCTTAAGCAGGAGACACAAAAGTAGCAGCATTTTGCAATCACTCTGCTATGCCTSAAGGGAGCAACAGCAGCACCAGTATATAAAGCAGAAATTCTGCTATTACATTTTTATCTCTTCTGCTATAAATAAAAAAGTAATGGTGTAATAACAAGGGAGACCTTAACTCCTCCTTTTGCTGCAAGGAAGGAGAGGAAGATGTTTTGTGATGGATCAAGTTCAGGCATAAAGCATCCAAAGAGGATGTGCCTAAAAGGGGCACAAAAGAGGCCAGGTGTGTTGAGGTTTYTAAGTTTACCACACACAGGCATCCCCCCAGGCAGTCCCATTCTAGACGGTCACAAGCATTGTGCTAAAAACACTAAGGCTGGGGATTCAATCCCAATATGAACCATTCACTTAAGAGCTGGACTTTATGATCCTCATGGATCCCCTTCAATTCACAATATTCCAAGATCTATGATCATTAAGTCTTCAAAAAAATAAAAATAAAAAATAACTCAAATTACAAGTAACACAATCCATTCCGCAAAATAAAAAACCCTCATTTTTACGAGAGCCTTTAAATATATTCTCAATGTCCCCTTCAATGACAACCACTTGACCATCAGCAAGAAAAAAAGCTTGTGGTTCATTCAGTAAATATCAGCAATAGTCAATAAAGCAATAATGGTCCCAAAAAGCAACTACCACTGTACAGATATGCCTGAAGCTACATGAGACTGCTGCAACCCAAATTCTGTAAGGTACAGGATACTCACCTTGGGTCTGAAGTTGGTGGTTGGTCCTACATACTCATGCTGGGCTTTCACAGTCCCCCAAGGATGGTGTACTTTGAAACATTCATTGCAGTAGCTTGCACTGCAGTCCATGCAGCTCTTTGTGGACTCCTGAGGTGGAGGTTTGCAGAAATCACACATAATAGCAATGGCTGCCCTGGCTGCCTGTCTGTACCTTTCCACAATGGTTTCCAAAGTGAAGTTGCGAAATAATCCATTGATGCCACGTTCTCCGAGATCAATATCCCGCTGGCAACCCGGACAAGGAAACAGAGTCGATCTAGGAGTCAGTGAATTGCGTTTTCTGCCTGTGTAGACACCAAAACCCAATTTAGGATGAACATAAACCAAATTGGTTTAGATTTTAAAAGAAGCACAGGAACTTATGAACAAAGTCCAGACTGTGGCACATCATCCAAACCAGTACAACACCAATTCATKTGCAGTCTGCCAAGCCAAAGAGAATACAATTGCCCTGACAAGGTAGTGCAAAGTCTGACTCCAACGGACATCACAAACTACTCCTCTAAACCTTAATTCCATATGAAGATAGAATTTGAACAGGTAAATTAATCTTTATCTAGTATTGAGTATACTCAAGCTCTAGCCTTTTGAAACAGTGAACACAAAGTCTTGTGGAAGCCAGGTGGTTTTAGACTAACTGGCTGTCCATACAGAGAGCAAAGAAAGATGCTTACTCCCAGAGCAAAACAAATTATTCCCAGAATATTATAGCTAGCTTTGTGCTCCCTGGTGCTTGCTTTGGCTGAGTCAAACTTAATTTACCTTTCCCAAGAGACTTCATAAAAAAAAMCCCAGGAAAATGAGGGAATGGTATGACATCTCAACCAAATAATTTAGTCAAAAAATGCAGAGGCTGACTTGGCCCCTGCTGAAAGGCCTTGGTAAAGGAGGGCTGTTAAATAAACCCTGTACACCAAAGGGGAGTCTGAGGTAGTTATGTCTGAGAGGCTCCTCTATCCTGAACTGACAAACCACAGATCTCCACTGTTACACAAGGGTAGATCTGTCTTTATTAATTTCTAAACAGGGAAYGGCAGAAAAGCTGCACTGCTACCAAACAGCTACACTGGAATTTCCCCCTCTCTCCAAAATAAAATCACAGCCTCAAGAAAAGCCACTACTCTAAGGAACCTTTTGAGTCTGTTAGGAGGATGGCTCACACAGACTCAGAGGTTATTCACAAGATAATGCTCTTGAGGTTATCAAATTAGGAGTGAATCCCGTCTCACTCATGAACCCACAGGATGCAAGTACCAGAAAGAATCCTTTATTTATTTCAAAAGCAGGCTAAGCCATTCTTTAAGCTTAATTTGTATCCTCTCAGCTTCCCCTTAAAAAGAAACAATAAAAATCCATCTTCTGTAGTGCTGGTGTATTAAGATCTCTTTTGGAGCACTCCATGTTGGTATAACTAACTGGTCCTGATTTCATCTGGGTCAGATAATTTTCTTTTTAGTAGCTGGTACAGTGCAGAGGTTTGGATTCAGTATGAGAATAATGTCATTACACACTGTTGTTCTGGCTGTTGCTAAGCAGTGCTTACCCTAAATCCAGGACTTTTTGGTTTTCCATGCTTCACCAGTGAGCAGGTGCACGAAAAGCCAGAAGGGGGAACACTCAGGACAGCTGCCCCAAACTGGCCAAAGGGATATTCCATACCATAGAATATAATGTCCAGTACATAAACTGGAGACAACCAACCCTCGTGGAGTCCAGGAGGGCTGGATTGCTGCTCRGGGACAGGCTGTACACTGGGCAGTGGGTAAACAACTGTATTATGCATAATTCGTTTTTCTTGGATTTTATTTCTCCCTCTCTTTTGTATTACTTTTGCATTTACATTTTTTTCCTGACTTCACATTTTTTTAATACTTACTTGAAGTGAATTAATTACTGCACATCTTGCAGTACCTGTAACTTGGCATACACAGTAGCACACGCATGCAAGGCACAGCAACAGCAGTGAAACACAAATTGTATTTCCAGTATATGTTCCAAGCTAGCACTGCACACGGGAACACAGAGAAATCTTCTACATGGACTTCTACAACGTCCTAAACAAAAAGATGACTTCACATGCACTGCCATGCAGACAATAGCTACAAAAAAGGAGCTAGAATACATACATTTGCTGAAACTAAGAAAATAGTCATACAGTGTGGCACATATTGGGACTCCCTACAAGTGGAATGCTACAGCAGAGAGCAAACAATGACAAAGCAAGAAAACAAGAGAAAGAAAAAACGTGGTGCAGTGGTCAAGTTTTAAAATACAATCTGAATTCGTATCCATCCCAATGGAGGCCTTTCATTCTGCCTGTGGTGGACCGAAATGAGACTGTCAACATGAGCCATGCTCTGCAAAGACTGGTGACATTGTTTAYGGAAAGCAATCCAGTTTCAAGAAATCCTGCATACCTTCAGATGTCTCATCCCTTTTCACTGACAGCACTTTGAGAATCTAGGCTGGGTTTTTTTTTTTCCTGATTTAAACCCCAGAAGTTTATTTGCAAAGCTTCTTGGCGTGTTCTGCCACTTCAACACTCAAAAGTAACGAAATACATTAACTTATTGCCTAGTAGCCTTAAAATATGAACACTTCGGTTTGCTTTCTGCTTAGAGGATTTATATACTCATATTTTAAGAAGAAAGGACTGATGAAGTAACTACTTTGGACACTATCTTTCCTATCTGTCTTGWGCCCAGTTTGCTAAATGTGAATTCTGCTTATAGGCAAAAAAAAACCCAAACAAAAAAAAAAAGCACACACAAAAAAAACCACAGAGCAACAACTCCCCTGGATTCTGCAGACATTATTAGATATGGAACTCAGAGAAACTCAGATGTTTACCATATTCTCTTCTACACTTTGCCAATTCAGTTTATAACAAACAAATATGCATTTTGTGAAATATTAGGAATCATCACATGAAATTTTCCATGGTGGTTTGTAAACTGATTGCTCCACTTGCAATAAGTTGCTCAATCAGTAACAAAAAAATTATAACATACACTCATGCTCAGACTCACAAACATCACCACACAGATTGCAAAGACTCAAACAAGGAGCAATCTTAAGTATGTCTTTTAAAGATAAAATTTAGACATCATCTTCCCAAGKAGAGGTACCAACACATAAAAAGTCCAAGCTGCAGTTGATAGTTTGCAAAGGGATAAGACATCTTAAAGATAAAGTTGTTTTCCAAGTAAACAGCATTACCAGAATTTTATGGTTGTGGAAGATATGGACATTAAATGTATGAAAGTTAAAAAAAAAAAAAAAAAGATTTAAAAGTCAACTGGATTCTCTTGAAAGTTTGAGGGTCTTTTTAAATACAAGTGTGTACTACCACCCTGCAACTCAATTAATGCTTTTAAAGGGACTTCTAGGGGGAAGGAAAAAAGGGAAGGGGGAAAAGGCGATAGGGATAGCAGGGGGAAGAGAGAAAGAGGGAAGAGGAAGAAAAACAAGAGCGGGGGAGGAGGGAGGGAAGGGGAAAGGGAAGAGGGGAGATGGGAAAACAGAGAGGGGAGAAGGAAGATGCGAGAAGGGAAATGGGAGAAGGGAAAGGGGAAAGCAGGGAGAGGGAAGAGGACAGGTGGAAGGGGAGAAAAGAAAATGGAGACGGAAAAGTAGGGAGGGGAAAGAGGAAAGGGGAAACGGGAGAGGGCTCCTTAGAGAAGCCAGTAAAGTTAAAATGTTACTTTGMCACTTCAGTTGTTCACAAATCAAAGGTGCTTTCTGCAAAAAGAGCAGACAAGGACAGATTCCCAAGAGGACTGATGGTATCATATGGTATCTGTTTCATGACACTTACAGCCTTCAACTGAGGCAATTCAAACTTCCTCTTCCGATCAGCTGCTCTGTCCTCCACTGAGTGTGAAATTCGGATTTGTATTTATCTCAGTTCACACCTCTCTTGAAGGAGGCCATATTCCTACGGATTGCTCTTGTGTCTGCCAATACTGCGGCAACAAAGAGTTTGGGGATTTTTTCCCCCGTTTTTGGCAGACCATCCCATTAAAAAAAAAAATAAATCAGTATTAAAATAGTCCAAACTATTTTAATATTGGCTGAGCTACTCAGATGAGCCCAATTGGGGAAATGATATATAACACTGGCTAACCTTTAACCTGACTGTGTCATTAGACACACCAAATATTGCAAGTCTGTAAGTGTAACACGTTTAGTTTACCTCACATATTCATGTGCTAAATCGTGAGATGCAGAACTACCTACTCATGTCAACATAGTGTAAATTTCAATCTGCTCTTCACCAAATTAAGCAGCTCAGATACAATGAAGAACCAATGTTGCATTCCATTTAAACGTGATGGCCAAACAYGACCTCTAAACGTTAGAAAGATCAGTCCTATAATCACAGTTCATTACCAGTAAGACAACAGTTTCACTGAAACGTAAACAAGTAAACTCCGGAAAATTAAAAAACAGGGGTGGAGGAGGTGGTGTGGTGACTGCTGGGCTTTTGCACCCACCAGTGAATATTCGGTCACACAAACACACAAGGAAAAAAATATCATCTAATCCTTAAGTGAATTCCAGTCCAGTTGACCTTTAAATCAGTCTTGCACAGAATGAAAAGCTGTCCTTATAGAACTTCTTTGCTGTATCTTTGCTCACTGCAAAAGCCTTTTTGTGGACTTGACCACTGACAAAAAGCTATATGCTAACCAACAATATTTAACTCAAGATCTAAATGCTAGACTATGTGTAGCTAACACAAGAAGTGAAGCATTTCTACCTCTGCACCCAAAAGACCTCCTCTGTGAGGCTGCGAACAATGAACAGAGAGCTGTTTAGACATCAAAAAATGAGATATACCATTGGTTTACAATGGTTCAAATGAAAAGCATCAACTCTTTTCTCTCCTGTGGCTGTTAAACTCCTGCAGGGTTGAAAGGCAAGAATGTTTAATTTCCTAGCATATCAAACAACTGTAATATTTAAGCAGAACAGGAAAAGGGAGAAGGAAGGCATTGAGGGGGAGGGGCACAGGGAGAAATATTTCAAACATTTGTACAAGTGTCAACAAAACCACATTAGATGCTTTAATTACACTAACACTGTAATTACAGTAACATTAGAGATAATGGAACAGCAATAAGAAATAGCCTTCATTTTCATGTTATATACAGCACGATTTATTTTAATTAAAATTATTTTAAATACAATATAAACAGGAGTATTTTCAAACCAACACACTGGATTTTAAGCAGCACATATACTCTATTTCAACGAGTTCCATCCTTTTTAGGTTAAAATTAATGGTACTTGCAAATGCAAGCTCTGTGTGCACAACAAATACAGAACATGGACCAGCTCCTTCTGGCACACAAAAAATTTAAATACCAAAACCATTTAAAATAGATTACATTCCTTATGGAGACATCAGGGATTCTTCAAGTGGGAAAAAAAAMCACAGGAAAAACCCATAGTRAGAGGAGGGTGTCCTATGCATTTTGACACGTGACACTGATGTCTTGACACTGACAGGCACTGCACAAGCATCCAGAAGGTCTGGTGTTTTGGTTTTTTTTCAAATGTGAGACCCCACTCTGGATGTTTTCTGAACATTTTCTCTCCTATGGAGCTGCTCTCTTGCAAATGCCCCTACAGATCAGAAAGCCAATTTAGCAAAGCAGTGCACAGTATGAGTACTCCAGATGCGAGATAACAACCGTGCAAATGTAAATTGCAGGCCAKTGACCAGTGCTGGCACCAAACTGGTCTCAAAGCCAATCTCACTGCTGACACAGCAATGGAGCTCTAACGCCATAGCATTAGAAGTAAAGACAGTGTAACCTCATTTTACAAATGTATTCTTTAATGCTTCCATTTCCATATGCTTTTCATTCTGTAAATTTGAACTGTCTGAGATGATAATTTTCCTRTGATGTGCCTCTGCCCAATGCTCTTTGAGGTAAGAGGGGGGAAGCTCATTATTTCCAAGTCTCAACCCTCTCTTGCTACTCATCRAACAGGTCTTTAGAAGAGCAATCACCTCTCTACTAGCAGATCAGATGAGGAGATGTATTCCCATCAGTTTGCTGAGATGATGTCAGACTACAGTGCATTTAAAGATTACAACTCCTGCAATAACCTGTGTACATGTATCTCAGGACAGGGTGGTGGCAGCATGAGGGAGTACCAAGAACTGGTGTCTTTTTGGTTATCAAACTGATCTGAAGGAGTACYAGCCCTAACCATTCACTAGTCGTTTAAAAGAAGCTGGTGAAACTGCGCATTTGATCTGTGAAAACTGGGAAGGATGAACGTTAATCTGAATGTTAAATGTAAGATAGAGCTTTAGAGTTTGTCCTGCTTGTAACTCATCTAGAGCACCGGGAAGTGTGGTTTTAAAATGGATYATTATGTCAGAAGGCTAAAAGCCAAGATGAGGTATCTTTCAAGAAGTAAAGCATGCACAAAGCACTTTCAGTGCATATGTGTAAAAGCAGATCAACTCATCCATGGATTACACAGACTGTGAGAATCTCTCTAGCATGATACCACAAAGAGCATGAGGAGTCCTACAGCTAAGCACTATTTAAATCTTTGAGCAGACCTCAGTGAAGGAGGCTGTTAGGGCTGTCTGCTTACAGTCATCTGTCCTTTAAATCCACAACCCTGAACAATCCTAACCAATGGGAAATTATTTACTGTACGCATAATGAACTGGGCAGGATAAAACTCTAACTTGCAAAGTCTATACAGGCTCAGAAGGAAGTCAGAATTACTCCACCAGGGCTGGCTGAAACCAGAGCAAACCAATGACATCCAATGAAATTGCCAAAATCTACATCTCCATGCAACTGAGCATGATGCTATTGCATCTCCATGTAACTGAAATACAGAAATAAACAAACACACTAGTTATAAAGATTTACAGAATGCCACAAAGACAAATCTATTATAGATGAAACAGAGTGYATTGTCCTTAAAAATATTCCCATTGTTCTTGACACAAAATGAACAAGACTAGCACTATCCCCAAGTCATCTCTTTAACCGCATCAGGAGTACCAGGAAGACATTCTGCGAATGCAGATACCATTCAGCTCAAGCCAATCTAACAATAAAACTAGGAAAACATGCACAAATTCTGATACATACCTGATCTATTAATCCTGTCAATTCTGTCCATGCTAGAAGCAGAGATTCTAATTCGAGGGCTACTCTGATTAGAGGATTCAGAGCCTCCATCAGCAAAGGAGTCTTCAAATGCAAAAAGTATTTCTTTCACACATTTGTGACAGACATTGTGCTGGCAGGGAAGGATCAGCGGATGGGTAAACAATTCCTTGCATGCTGGGCAGATAAGCTCTCTTTCAATACCCTTAATGGCAACCTTCATGACAGAAAGAGGGAGAAACAAGTGTAAGCACAGGAAAACAGAGCCATCAAGACTTATGGCACTGCTCTATGTAACCAAACCGCAGTTCTGTAGAATAAAYGCACACAGTTTTATCTGGTTTGAGGCACTTCTCTCGCTAAAACAAATCTCAATTAACATTTATGAAAGCACTGACAGCATTCACTTCAACTGAAGTAAGCACTGCCACTAGGCAAACTCAGTTCATCTTTAGGTCATGTCTGCATTGCAGGGGAGGAACGGAGGGGAGTAGTCTTAATTCCACTTAAGGACCTAGTGAAACGAAAGCAACCATACTTCTTAACAATAGGAGTCCGTATGTTTAGCTTGCTCGCTGACTTACGAAGAGGGAGTAAAAAAAAAAAAAGAAATTAAGTGTCAGACTGGTTAAACAACAGGCTCTCCTGACGTGCAATTCATGTTCAAGGGTTGAAACGGTCTTGATTTCATTAGGGTAATAGTTTTGAGTCAGGAACATCGTTTATTTATTTATTTATCTGTTTATTTACGTCTTTTCTCTGTGGCACAAAGAGCCGCCTGTGGATCGGAGCAGCTCTTCAGTAATTCCGTGACCCCCGCGGCCGGCCCTGGCACCGCGCCCCGCCGAGCACCGGCTGTCTGTGGCGGCGGCAGCGCCCGCTCCGCCCGGCGCCCTCAGGGAGCGCTTCCCCTGCGCGCACCGCGCCCGTCGGAGCTCCCTGCGAGCCCTGCCCGCCGTCCCGGCTCYGCTCCCAGCCSRGCACGGACGAACCTGTSGGCGCACACCGTGAGGGCWGACACACACACGGACACACGGACGGACGGGCAGGCAGGCACCCTACAGCCCCCCGCAGCACCAGCGGAGGGACGACGCACCCCGCCCCGGCGGCCGCGCCCCGCCGGCTCCCCCCGCGCTCACCGGGCTCTGCGGCCGATCGCTCTCCATCCCCGCGCCTCCTCCTGCTCCTGCTGCTGCACCGGGGCGCCGTCTGCCCGGCCGGGCGGGCGGGACGGGGACGGTGCAGCGCCCGCGGCGGCGCCCGGCGCAAAATGGCGAGCGGGCGGGCGAGCGGGGCGGGGCGGCCGCACCCCGGCAGCAGCCGCGCAGCGGAGCTGTCCAGCCGCCCCCAACGCGCCGCTCCCCGCGGGACAGCGGCTGGCGAGCTGCTATTGTTTTGGCTCTTCTCTTTCGCCAGGCGGCACCGGAAATGCCGCCCGTCCCGGCGGCCGGCAGTATTGAGTGCTTTCCCGCTCATCGATCACCTCCCGTGGTACCCGTGTCATGGAATCGTTGAGTCGTGGAAYGGATTGGGCTGGAAGGGACCTTGAAGACCACAGAATCACGGAATCAGTCAGGTTGGAAAAGTCCTCTGAGACCATCGAGTCCTAAAGCCATTTTGTCAAGTAGASCACGGCACTAAGTGCCGCATCCAGTCTCGCGTTAAATACCTCCACCACCTCCCTGGGCTTTGAAGGAATGCTTCTTCATGTCCAACCTAAATTTCCCCTGGCTCATCTTAAAACTGTGTCCTCTCATCCTAMTCATTTAATTCCAATCCCCCCACTGTGGGCAGGGACACCTTGCACGAGACTGGATTGCTCCAGCCCCCGTTCAACGCGGSCTTGCTCCAGGGATGGAGCATCCACAGCTTCTCTGGGCACCCTGTGCCAGTGTCTCACCAATATCACAGTGAAGAGTTTCACCCTAATACCTGTTCTAAACCTGCCTTCTGTAAGTTTAAATTCATTCCTCTTTGTTCCACTGGCAGGCCATGTAATAGCTCACTCTGCCTCTTTTTCATAAGCCCTCTTTAAGTACTGAAAGGCCTCAATAAGGTCTCTGTGGAATCTTCTCCATGCTCAGTAGTCTCAACTCTCCTAGCTTGTCTTCACAGGAGAAGTGCTATAGCCCTATGATCATTTTAATGCCCTCTTTTGGACTCACTTCAACAGATCCACRACTCTTGTGCTGAGGACCTCAGAGCTGGATGCAGTATTCCAGGTGGGGTATCACAAAACAGAATAGATGGGGATAATCCCCTCTCTCACCCTGCTGGCCAAACTGCTTTTGCTGCAGCCCAGGATACAATTGGCTCTCTGGGCTCTCAGTGCCCACTGTGGGCTCATGTCCAACTTTTCATCCATGAGAGCTCCCAGGTCTMCTCCTCAGRGCTGCTCTCAGTGACATCTCCCAGTGTGCACTCAGTTTGGAATTGCCCCAACCCAGGTGCASCTCCTTGTCYTTGCACTTGTTGAGCTTCATAAGGCTCTCACGGGCCCACTTGTGGGGTTTGTCCMGGTCCCCCTGGATGGCATCCCTTCCCTTTTTTGTGTCCATGGCWCCGCTCAGCTTTGTGCCATCTGCAGATTTGCTGAGGGTGCATCTCACTGTCCCTGTCATTTATGAAGATACTGAGGACATCAGTGCCAAGAGAGAGCCCTGAGGGACACCACTCGTCACTGGCCTTCACCTGGACACAAAGCCATTGACCACAACTCTCTGGCCAGTTCCTTATCCACCRAACAGTCCATCCATCAAACCCGTGTCTCTCCAATTTGGAGACAAGGATGTCATTGGGGACCATATCAAAGGCCTCACAGAAGTCACCTGTTGGTCTTTCCGCTCCGACCTTTGCAGTCACACCCATCACAGAARGTGACCAGTTTGGTCAGGCACAGTTTGCCCCTATTAAAGCTGTAAAGGCAGTCTCAGATCACCTCTTTGATTTCCATGCACTTTAACATTTCTTCCATGAGGATGTGTTCCATGATCTTCCCAGGGACTGAGTTTCACAAGTCTGTAAATCCTCAGACCTTCCTTTGTCCCCTTATTGAAAATAGTCAGGGTGTTTACCCTTTCCCAACTTTGCCTGCCTGCCATGAATTCTCAAATATCATGCAGGAGGCATGCACCAGGCAGCTTTTTGGAAGCTAGGATGAAAAAGAAGTGGGGAGGTGGTTATGATGGCCAGAACTTCCTACCATCCCCTTACAGCATGTTTCCATTGGAAAAGGGGTAGCAAATACCCTTTTCACCATCTGCCAGAACAAATAAAAATATGTTTAAATTTCCAGCATCTTCAGATTTTGGCAAGGGTACACAACCGTTGCAGTAGCAATATTTAACATAGCATTAGGCTAAGGGAGAAAAAACACCAGCTAGCAAGCTTGGAGTGAAAGCATACACTGTCCTCACATTACACAGCGGAAGGAGGTTTGGTTAATTAAAAAACATGATGAAATGTTGCCAGTTTGACAAACCCTAAATTTGACCTTCTTGCCTATTTAAAGAACAACATCAGGATAAGAAGCTCCCTTTTCCCCTCAGAATTGTTTTTCATATGAGTCAATAAAACAAACATAGTTGAAATGTCTCACTTGGGCATTATTTACACCTGGGTTTCAGTGGCCTGGAAATGAAACTTGAATGGAAACTTATACTCAGAAATCATGAAGAGGTGATTTTTACACATCCAGTACAATAAAGAACAACTTCCTACAGAGGACTTATAAAGATATTATTTTGCATTTGCTTTAATAACCAGACTCATAAAAATACAGACTACTGTGCTTGAAATTATTCTGATAATGCCAGTGAATGCACAGTATGTGTATTCAAACTGAAACATGTCACTTAACTGGGCAGGGGGGAGAACAGGTTGGTAAGGTCAYGTGTTATCAGCCTTCCAACTATTTGAATAATGATTTGCAAGCCTCTGAATAAGTATATTATAAACACTTCTACTATTCCCAACTTTCCTGATGTTACAGGCAGGCAGCTTTTAATAAGCACTTGTCTGCATTAGCGCAGTGCCCACCACTGGCACTGGGCTGTGRTTGATGCAGGGCCAAATGAACCATCAGCCTCAGACTAGAACAAAGACCCCTTGGCTCTACAGCTTTGTCTTTTGAAGCAGTGGAAGAAATTTTGTCTTTGGTGGCACACCAAGGAAAACCACTCTGCAGTTCATGACAGAGGTGAATATGCCAGCGCAGGTGGGTGTTGCCAGCACAAACCCGGAGCACACATTTCTTCCTGTCCTGCTGTCTTCCCATGGACCACAGTGTCAGCTGTGTTACTGCCAGGATTGGTAAATGGTTCTTTGTTCAAGCCCTTAATACATGGTTAAAGGTATTATTTGTGTACCTGTTTGCTCTGGCATCAGGGTACTTTAGAGCAGGATTTTAATTAACACCTCCATCACATTAAGATGTTACATGGAAGAAAATATCCTTGAATGCCTCCAAAGGGCAGGACTCTCCYTTCTGCACTCACACCTTTTTACTAACATGTTGGTCCTTTCCCAGCCCAGGACTACTACATTTGCAGTGCCAAAATTCTCTTTAGCTTTAGGTGCTGGAAGGAAAAACTATAGCTGCAATGACTGGTACCTTAGAAAGATAAAAACATGAAGCAGTGTCAGAAAAGACTCCAGTCCTTAGCCTCTGAAAAAGGTGTTGATAAGACCAACGACTGACTACAATCTGACGACAGAAGTCAGATTACCCTTCTGCTCTCTTTATAGCCAAAGCTATGTATCAAATGGACACCCATTCTTCTCACAAGGGACTCCTTTTGCATGGAGYAATCCCTGGGGAGAGTCAAAATACTTCTACAAGCCCTTCAAAATTCACGCCTGTCCCTGCAGCAGAGGGTCTGACCACAGTTACATCGTGCCATGCACCCCCAAGGCAGCAGAAGAAAACAGAAACTGCRATGGGTGGGCATTGTCATCCTATTTTCCCCCTTACCTCAGATTAAAAGTGCTTGTTAATTTAATAATTGATAGACAGCAATCTCCCAAGTGCTCATTTGCATTAACTATCAGTATAATTTCAGGAAGGATGCAGCACTGCTCTCCAAGAAGCTGCAAAAATCCTACACTTGTTTACAGTGTAGCTGCAGTCCTACTGCAAGGAGCAACGCAAGCCTGTGCCAAAGCACCAGGAAGGTTCTGCCARCACCTCCTCTGCTTTCAGTAGTCAGTTCCTCAGACCAAAGCTTTTCAAGACATTTATTTTCATGCTGCTTTTGCAACCATGGCTTGAGACTGACTGAGTTCCCCGCTGATCTGCGCTCCTCTGACTAAAAACAGTAGAGGCAATGCACCACAGTGAAGATACACAGGATGAGAACAGACTTTTTCCTGAGCTGGTGTGACCGACTTGGGACCAAATTATCACACAGTCACTTTTCTCCCTGCACAGTGTGTTTTCTTCCATGATGAATTCAGAGGGATGTTAGCCCACATCCTGGTCCCTGTAAATTGTCAGTGATGCACTTTTCTTCTCTACTTGTCCTGAAAAGCTGAACCTAATGAAGATGACTTCTATCCACAGGATTTTGCCAGTCATGCAGGCTGAAAGATATATTGTCCCCTCATGAATAAGGTAGGAATTTTTGCTGCCTGAGAGAAATGTGCCTTTTTTTGGCTCAAGAATACAGGCTCAACTTTGTTTTCACAATGGTTGCCCTTCAACTGTGTGACCCTGAAGAGCCATCAAGGATTTGTAGACCTTATGTTTCAAAATGAACATAACTATGGCTCGAGGATCTCTTATCATAAAACAAAATTGTTGTAATCAGTTGCCAAGCAAGTGAAAGAATTATAACCAAAAAAAAACCATCCCAAAAATGCATGACATTCAAATCAAAATATGATCCAGCTCTGAATTAGGAGAGAGTSCTGCCTGTAAAGAAATTATTACTGATGAGCAGAAAGAACATGTGTGTTCTTGTAATATGTATTTTTAAAAGGATTTAGATTATAAACCATTTACATTAAAAAATATATCAAATTTACAAGAAAGGCAGTGACAGGCTCAGTTTCTGACACCATGAAGATTTGACATGAAAAATAGGACAGTACACRTGGAACATGGAACACATGGGGAGCGTTCTCTCCTTCACTTCAGGCTGTGGATACCCCTATCCAAAGGACAAAGCTGGCAGCTCACCCTTGCCATGTCACATCACATGTGCTTCTAGGTGCTTCAGGGAAACCACT